GCATGGAGCGAAACAAAATAGAAAAAATATAGTTCGATGTGGCTCTACCAGTCACCAGTCAACTGGTGGTTTATCATGGACTAGTTTTTTCTGTTTATTGCAACATAAGAAGTACTGATTTTCAATATTAGGATATTAAGCAAGTAGTTTCGCTCTGTTGTGCAGGTGTATGCTTGCTTTCCCTGGTGATTACAAGAGCCTCGTTCCCAAGCTGCTAATGGAAACAATGGCAGCTGTGGGGGCAAGCTTCGTATCTCGAATCAACTTTGCAACTGGAGATGTTGTTCCTGAGACAAAAGCATTCGCAAAAGGTAACCTTTTTGTGCTTATTCATGACAGAGTTATTCATGTCTATGTCTTCATTATGTGATAAAGATTCATTTTAGTTTGAGACAAGACAAGAAAAGAAAAGTAATGACTCCTTGTAAGTCTTTTTCTTTTGTCTTGTGCAACGCATGGAGTGTTTGGGCTGTTGGTTTGTTCTTAAAAATAGAACTTCCAGGATGAGGTAGTCTTTCCCATGGATGGTCACACCTACTCTGTACTGACATTTCTGGTTCCTTTACTTCTGCCCCAGGTTTTTGTTTTTTCTGCTCATTGTATTTATTCTATCCTTTTTCTGACCACAGGTTTGTTAGATATATTGTCTGGAGATATGCCAAAGGCTATAAAGATTCAACCAAAGCATCTTGAGGCCCTGATTGAGTTACACAATATAACCGGGATTTTTGCGAGGAATATTCAGCACCTGTTTTCAGAGTCGGATCTCCGTGTACTGATGGATACATTGAAGGCGGTTTACCTTCCTTACGAGTCATTTAAACAAAAGTAAGCAATTAATTTGAAGGCTGTTGTATTTTGTATATTCTTTCTGAGAGTACATATCTGTAGTGTAGGAGCTTTTACTATGGGTTTTAGGAAATTCCCTTGTAGTATTGAATTCGACCGATACTAATACAATTGAATCTCCAGAAGAAGTTGAGTTCAGCTCTAAAGTATGGATTCTAGTCAGTCATTTCATAAAACTTATGTTGAGGATTGCTCGTGTCAGTATTCTACTTCGGGATTTATTTTGGACCTTTCAAACTTAGGAACAGGGTTTTAAAAGGTACAAGGATAGTTTTTCACCATTTTTGAAGAATAACTTTTACATAATACTGTCCACATCACACCTTGACTTGTGCAAGGAATATGACGAGTGGCTTTAAGATTATGAGGATACTTTATCATCATCAGCGAAGGAACAGCCCGATGCGACACTATCCACTCTGAGATGAGCTCCATCTCTGCATTTGCATGCATAGCTCAGTAACTTCCTGTCTTTGTAATTCATGACTTACTTATGTTAAATCTTACTTTAACACTCTAGTGACAGTAGTCGTGAAATATTTGGATCTAGTGATCTTTTTACTTTTGGAGCCAGCTCTACATGGTCATATTTGGTGGTCTAATCTTGCTGTCATAATCCTGTCCATGTTGTTTAGTGACGATCATTGTAATTTAGGCTGTCCAATATTTCGCATCCGGTGTCATTATTCTTCAAGTAACGAGTCAATAGGCAAGATGCATCAAAATCAATAAAGGAAGAAAGAGAAGGATTTCAAGCCTCTCCATGTTTTGTCATATATGCCTCTTCTCTCCTAGATGAAGCTTTTCTGTCGGCAAATTGCTTGTTGGTTCTCAATAGACTATATTAATTTTTCACCTGATGTTCTTGCATTTCAGATATGGGCAGGTAGAACGTGCTATACTTGCCAATGAGATCTCTGCGGTGGATTTAAGAGGAGCTGTTGCTCGTGGTGTTGGAGCCCAGGGAGTTGAACTCAGCGAGACTGTTAGGAGGATGGAGGAGTCCATTGCCCAAGTTATTGTAGTTCTTGAAGCAGCTGTAGAAAGGTGCATCAGCTTTACTGGTGGTTCCGAGGCAGATGAACTGATTCTTGCGCTTGATGACATCATGTTACAATACATTTCTTCTTTGCTAGAGACACTGAAATCATTAAGAGCCGTCTGCGGTGTGGATCTTGCTGGTGAGGGTGGCTTAAAGAAAGAAATGGGGTTGGACAAAAAAGAGGCAACTCAAAGTGCAAGAAAGGTAGAAACAATCTCTAATGAGGAGGAGTGGTCCATTGTCCAGGGAGCTTTGCAGATCCTCACTGTAGCAGATTGTTTGACAAGCAGATCTTCTGTATTTGAAGCTTCCTTGAGAGCTACTTTGGCTAGGCTGGGCACTAGCTTGTCTGTTGCGGTATTTGGTTCAAGTTTGGACCATAACCAGTCACATGTGGTTAGTGACGATGGGAATGAGGAACGGTCTTTGGTTGGTAGGGCTGCCTTTGATGTTGCAGCCATACGACTCATTGATGTTCCTGAAAAAGCACGAAAACTTTTCAACCTTTTAGATCAGGTAAATAAACCTAGTCTGTGGCTCAACATTTCTTTCCTTCACCCACTAACATTTCCAATTCAACATTTGGACCATTGATTAGTGTTGGCTTCCATAAATTTGTGTTCTCTTTTCACTTGATTTTGGTGTAGCAGCTTTTGATTTTTTATATTTTGGTTCGCCTTATATCTTTCGTCTAGAGGGTATCGATGATATCTTTATATGTGATTTCGCAGACGTAATGATTTAATTGTTTTTTTCTTTTTAGTTGAAAGATCCTCGGTTCCATGCACTTCCACGTGCATCTCAGAGAGTTGCAGCATTTGCTGACACTGTCAATGAACTTGTCTATGACGTCCTTATATCTAAAGTGAGACAAAGGCTCTATGATGTGTCTCGGCTGCCAGTATGGTCCTCAGTTGAAGAACCAAGTGCTTTTCCCCTACCAACATTCAGTTCGTATCCACAGTCCTATGTGACAAGTATTGGCGAATATCTTCTTACTTTACCCCAACAGTTGGAGCCACTTGCGGAGGGCATCTCCAGCGGTGATGCCGGCAATGATGAAGCGCAGTTCTTCGCAACTGAATGGATGTTCAAGGTGATTCACGCAAAGTCTTTTCATTTTTATTCTGGTTACGAAGAATCCTTGACTAGTTAAATAGAACAGGGAGCTGGGTTTTGGACATTAACAAGGGATCGATACCTAAGTGCTGTTGGGACATCAGATAGGCCATTTTTTTTAATTTTGGTTGAAAGTTAGGCCATTTGATTGGTTTCAAAATAACAAAGTTGGAGATTTGATGCTTCCCTTTTTTTAGGGGATAAACCCTAGGCGACTTGAATTGCGGTTCAGCATTTTGCTATAACTTGGTTTTCACTTGGTTATGGAGTAAATGAAAAGTCTGTCCAGGCTTCTTCACTAGGAATTGGAAGGCCTGACTTAAGTGGTTCTGATTGAGAACCCTGACTTGGACTCACTTTTCTCTCATTATTTATCCCCTTGTAGAAAATAACTAAGCCTAACAATTAGCTATGAGTCAACCCTTTCTGAACCCTTGTTGTTTGTTGTCGGAAGGTTGCTGAAGGTGCCACAGCCCTTTTCATGGAGCAGTTGCGAGGAATACAGTATATGACAGATCGCGGAGCACAACAGCTGTCAGTTGACATCGAGTACTTAAGTAATGTGCTTTCTGCCTTATCAATGCCAGTACCTGCTGTGCTCGCTACTTTCCAGACGTGTTTTTCAACCCCAAGAGATCAGTTGAAAGACCTTGTGAAATCGGATGCAGCAAACCAGCTAGATCTTCCCACAGCAAATCTTGTATGTAAAATGCGGCGTGTGAGTTTGGACTAGTTTGAAAGTAAATTTTTGATACAGTAAGTGCGGCATTTGTGTAACAGGGTCACAGTCTGCAGCCAACATTTCCATGTTCCTTTTCAATTTTGTTTTTCATACGAAGGTCTTGCTGTAAACCAAAACATTTCTTGGTAGATTTAGTTAATTACCGAGCGTACATCGAGATTCATGATTGTATTTAGAATGCAGTTTATTCAGTCACAGGGATTCCTGAACTCTACTATTAGTGGCCCAAAATTCTTAGTTGATACTCTTTAGTTTTTCCTCCTTAAGCTATTTTCGTTCGTCATCTGCGCCGTCTTCGATTTCTGCTTTCTTGGATGAACTGCACTCTGAGGTTTGTAGAGTTTCGACAGTTCTTCTTGTTGTGCACCAAATTCTAGCATTCCGTGCCCCACCAAAATGGGTTTGAATCCGCGAGCCAGTTCACTGGCAACCGCCGGTTTTTATGCGTATTGCTTCGGAGAAGCGAGAAGTGGGATCACCAAGCTCGAACGCATGGGGGCTAATATCATAAGTTGACCGCAATGAAGGATTTCCTAATAGCCATACTGAAAAAGGCTAATACAATTCAAATGACCATACTGAAACATGTTGAAGAATTACCAGAACTGTGGGACTAATTTATCCAACCTTGATTTCCTACTTTCAGTTAATTACACCATCGATCACACTTCCCCTTAATTAGGATAAGCTAATATAACAAGTCAATGAAATTCCAATGAATTACAACGTCCACAGATTGCTAGAGTTTCCATAGTAGCATAGCATCCCACCTTAAAGTCCGTAAAGTTTCCTCGATTGGTAAGATTTTGGTCATTATGGTAACTCATTGTATACCAATTCCTGGAAAAATGACACAAATGATCCATGAACTTTAATCCAATATGGGATGTGGTCCCTAAACTTTAGCCTAATGTGTAATGTCGCTCCTAAATTTTCAATTTGTTCAATGTGGTCCATAAACTTTTGATACATGTTTAATTTAGTCTTTGAACTATATGAAAATGTTCAATATTTTTCTTGAACTCGAATAAATGGAAGGACGACATGGAACATTTTCATATAGTTCAATGACTAACTTAAACATGTTACCAAAAATTTAGAGATCACATTGAATAAATAAGGATCATATTGCATATTAAGCAAAAATTCGGAGATAATATTGGACATATTAAATGCTCATTTATCATGTTACACGTTGCGTCAAACTAGGGGGACTATTTGTATCATTGTTCCCGTTCTGAAAAGGAAAAGCTAAATCCCCTCCCTTTTCTTTTTTCCTGCCGATAAACCCCCCTGACGCTTTGCAGAACCCAAAGAAACCTTCCGGCTCTCATCAATGGCGCCCAAAATCCTCTCCGCATTCATCTCTCCTCTTCCTCTCCCTCGCCACCTCACCAACCTCCATTCCAGAGTCCTCACCGCTCGCAAGTCACCGCCACCTCGTCCTATCCTCTGCAAATCCCCACCCGAACTAGCCGAATCCGAATCCGGCGGCACCGGAGCCGCATCCCCGACCCGCGGGGACAACTTCCTCCACCGCCAGCGGTCCGTCGAGGCGGCGAAGCTCGTGATGAAAGAGATGAAGCCGAAAGACGCGAAGAAGATGAAGAGGGAGAAGCTCCCGAAGGTCAGCTCCGCGGTTGCTTCTTGTTACGGTTGCGGAGCTCCGCTTCAGACGTCGGAAATGGATGCTCCTGGTTACATCGACCCCGACACTTACCAATTGGTACGTGCTTCAAATTGTACGGACGCAGCCGCTTGTTTAATGTACGAGCAGCGTGTCAAATTGGCAATCGGGCCTTGTTTGCCTGCTCGAGAAGTGAGAGCAGTATTTGAGTTTTTCAGAGCAAGGATGAGTTCTCCAACTCGCCTTTAGTATGCTCGTACTTTCAAGTATGGATTTGGCTGCTCGAGATGCCGTGCCAAGGTCTTTGGTTTGATTGGAGCGAACTTCTTGTGCTTGATTTTGTAGAAGAAGAAACACCACCAGCTTAGGACGGTGCTCTGCCGGAGGTGCCGCCTCCTGTCTCATGGCCACATGATAACCGCCGTGGGTGGAAATGGCGGTTATTCTGGCGGTAAGCAGTTTGTTACTGCTGAAGAGCTGAGAGACAAGTTATCTCATTTGCGTCACGAGAAAGCCCTCATCGTCAAATTGGTAAGTGCTGGCAATTTCACAGAATTCAACCAAGAGATCCACAAATAGTCCTAATAATCCTGTTTACAACTGGGATTTTCCTGCTCGATTTGTTTGGTCAATCTTGAGCCAATCAAGTGAGACAAAAGTATTGCACATTGTTGGTGGGTGGGTAACTGCAATTTTTCTTTCTGCTGATCGCCCCAGGTTGACATTGTTGACTTCAACGGCAGTTTTTTGTCTCGTGTACGTGATCTTGTTGGTGCAAATCCCATCATATTGGTTGTAACAAAGGTGATAAAACAATAATGCGGCTCTTGCTATGTTATATATGATTAGTCCGGTTAAGTTGCTCATGTCGACGGTTTTTGACTCTGCTAGGTGGATCTACTTCCTAGAGGGTCCGATCTTAACTGTATTGGCGATTGGGTTGTTGAAGCTACTACAAAGAGAAAGCTCAAGTAAGTTCTAAGCTACTCTTTAGTTTCTATTGAAAGTGGATGTGCTGGTCCAATATGGAACAGAACATTTTCGGTTGAGTTTCTTAGAATTTCAGTGCTGGAGATATGTATGCTGAAATCACTGTTGTGAATAGCTTTCTTATGAGTGTTTTTGCCATGCAGCGTTCTTAGCGTCCATCTTACTAGTTCGAAGTCATTGATTGGGATTGCTGGAGTCATTTTGGAAATCCAAAAGGAGAAAAAGGTGCTTATCTATCTCATAACGAATTTTCACTTAAGTTGGATATGCATCCAGAACATGGCAGTATTGCTAAGGTTTGGATGTGGCATAAACTTGGCACCCTGGATCTTGCTAGTTTACTCTGTCCCTGGAATTAAGTCCCTTATATATGTGGCCTATATAAAAAGAGTTTTCCCTCTAAGTTGGCTCAAGTACATAGATTCATTCACACTATTGTATATTAGATTATGCAACACGGTATATCTGTATATTAGATTCTCACTCCTTTATGTTAATTCTCAATTGCAGGGACGGGACGTTTACATCCTGGTCAGTAAATTTCTGAGTTCAAAGTTCATAGTAATGAAACCATTTTTCCAGATAACTATATCTTTACTAGTAGTAGGTACAGAAAATATACTACGTGTGTCAACAACATTTTCTCCGTAATTTTATGTTGTTCTTAATTTTTTGATGTCCTACCTAACTCTCGAGTTCAACAAGAAAACTTGAGGATGAAAACAGTAAAATTATCTAAATTGACGTGTCATGAACCTATTTAGCCGATAGGTTTTTAATTTTCCTTAACAGGAGATCTAGTCTTTGAAGGTACTTATTTGGCAGTTTAATTTTGATTGTGAATACAGGGTTCAGCCAACGTAGGCAAATCTGCATTTATCAGTGCTTTACTGAGTAAGTACTTTCTCTGCTGACCAGGATAAGTCCTCCAAAAAATATATCATCTCCAAAGTAATTTAACTGTCAAAGACGACAATAATTATGGGTGGCTTTGATTGCATTTTTTTCTGTTGTATTTACATGCGCTTTCGGCATATAGTAGATTGATATAGGAGTTGATGTCGCAAAATGTGAGGTGTATTGCTGGTGCTCTGGTAATACGCATTTGTTCTGAAGGATTGTACTGCTAGACGGTTGTCCTTTTCTGTTGCTGGCATTCCCTGTCTTGCAAGGATCCTAATATGTGTTTCAATGTTATGATACCCTTTTGCACATGATACTTTGTGCATGGACTTATAATTCAGTCCCTGTTCATGATATTGATGTTTGTCTTTTTAATCAGCTTTATTGTCATTTTTCTTAGTTCTTTTCTTATTGCCAACCGTTTATTCATGTTTACTTCAGGGCTGATGGCAGAGAAAGACCCTATTGCTGCAGCAGCTACGAGATATAAACCTGTGGAATCTGCTGTCCCTGGAACAACCTTAGGGCCAATTCAAATTGAGGCTTTCCTAGGGGGAGGGGTATGCCAGATTTGTTAGTATGCTATCTGTAGAATATCTCTCTCTCGCTATCTCTCTCTGCGTCCATGGATGCGTGTGTCGGTGTGTGGCTGTGTCTAAGACCCTGCTAAATTTATCTTTCCACAGAAATTATTTGACACACCTGGAGTACATCTCCACCATAGGCAAGCGGCAATTGTTCATGCCGAAGATCTTCCTTCTCTTGCTCCTCAAAATAGGCTTAGAGGTCAAACATTTCCGGTAAACACTCTTTTTCCTTGGGTTGTATTTGTATTGGCAGACTATAGCATCCGTTGTTATATGTCTGATGTGCTCCCTGATGTATCTCAGGTGACTAGCAGTGTTGAACCCAGTTCCTTAAATGGGTTTTCGGTATTTTGGGGAGGCCTTGTTAGGATTGACATTTTAAAGGTGACAATCTAATTTATTCTCATTCGATTTAACCCCGACCCCCATTGTTTGGCGCAATAATATCTGGATTTGGCTTATATCCATTCTTGTTTGGTTTAGGTTCTTCCAGAAACAAATCTAACATTTTATGGACCCAGAGGTTTACAGATTCATATGGTACCCACTGCCAAAGCAGACAGGTTTTACCAGGTAATTTTTCGTGTGATTTTTCTTATGGTTGTCCTTCTGTTTCTTCATTTAATTTATTATGGAAAATTCACTCTAGTTGCTATTGTTTTGTTCACTACAATTGTTTTCTTCTAGACTGCAAAGGTAGCGCAGTCTGTCTTGGGATGCTCTGTTGAATTAGTGCAGCCTAGCTGACCATTAAACTTCTTTTGTAAATGGTAGCCTGTGGTGGTCAATTATAGTGGTTCATTCAATTTGCTCATTGATGTTGCATACAAGCTGCAATGTTTAGCCGCATGTTGAGATAAAATGACAATATGTTTTTAGTGGTTGGAACTACTACCTCGGTAGAGAAGTCCTAGATGATAGAATTCTTTTGTTCTCCATCTCGGGCATTCATTTGCCAGTTTTCTCGTATGTCGTGCAATCTCGACGAGGATGATTTTACTGATTACTGCAGGAAAATCTCGGATTACTCTTGACTCCTCCAACTGGTAAAGACAGAGCATGCAACTGGAAAGGCCTCGAAACAGAGCATCAGTTGCTTATTAAGTTCGAAGATATAGACAGGTGTGTGTTCTTTAGATTTAGTGGAGCTCAAGTAGGGACTAAATACCTGTGTGGGACTAAGAATGGTTATATCGTACATATGACTATTTTTATGTTAAAATCCTTGTCAGCAAGTATGGGATACTATAATTGTGAGAGACATCTCTCAGTGAGAAGTCGCTGAAATTTTTAGCTGTTAGTTTCAAACTTAAGGTTATTGAAATTTACCTAATTGCTTGTCAGGCCCGCTTGTGATGTGGCTATATCAGGTCTTGGGTGGATATGTGTTGAACCAGTGAAAAAGTCACTTGCAAATCCTGAGTTAGCTTTCCAGGAAACACCCAAAGAACTGCATTTTTCAGTCCATGTTCCCCGGCCTGTTGAGATATTTGTTAGACCTCCTATGCCAGTGGGCAAGGCTGGAGGAGAGTGGTATCAATACCGAGACCTGACGGAGAAGGAAGAGGAAGTGAGACCAAAATGGAACTTTTGATGCTTTAGTTTCCGTGACTACTTGTACATAATTGATGATGGACGCCTTCACAGTGGAACGGGAACTTGTTGCCTGAACACATTCTTGTGAGGTGCATAGCTGACTCAGGTTTCAGTAGGTATCTTGGAGTTTCTGGGCTTGTGGTATAGAGACACCGAGAGTTGATGTTACATTCAGCGATGGAGCTAAAGATGTTTCGGCACGGGTCCTCTCAATGTCATAGGGACAAAGGCGTGAACATATTGGAAGGTCTTCCCCTGACCCCGGAGCTGAGTTCTCATGATACCTACAGATATGGCAGTACAGTGTTTGTTTTGCATGTTCATATCGATGTGTAAATTAGTAACGGCGCCGTTTTTTTTTGCTAAAACAGTAACGGCGCCGCTTGTCAGATGATATGTAATGCCAAATTATTGAGTTCTGATTAAAATCAGTGTTTGATTCTTATTGACGGCTGCGCCTTCATCGTGGATTTAGATTAGGGTCTCGGGCCTATATATATATAAGTTCTATTATATCACGTGAAAGTGGTGTATATGAGGGCTTTCTAATGTTATTTCCAGATTGGAGTGTTCCAAAACTATAATAGGACTCACTTAGATTATGCAATCATCCCTAGCACGAGAGAATGGGTAGGTGAATAAACCTACCTCAGGAAGCCAATGGCAATAAGCTTGCGTGGTGATATCATATTTTCACTTGCATATCTTCTCTTGAGCTTCTAATGTGCGAAGGGCGATCATTGTGTATTAGCCAATATGCTTAACTGAAGTGTAAAAAGCATGAATAGTTTCGTACCTGCTTTTTTCACTTCGTGCAATGCAAGAGAAACGAGGTAGAAGAAAAATAGGTTATTCCCGCAATAATGAAACTGTTTATTTCAATCCTTTTTAAGTGTTAGTGATTTGGCAACTAATAGTGTCTTTGATTAACTTATGTGAAATTTTGTGAAATTACAGCCAACTGTTCTAAAAACTTAAGCCGTTAGATGAAGACGTGATTTAATATTTAATTATTTTAGCACTCTCTTTCACGTTTAGTTTGGTTTTTTTTGGCCTAATACTAAGCGTGGACATATTTAATTAGAGAGGTAAATGGGGCCCGAAAAGATTTGAACTTGGAATCTTCAGTTCTGAAAAAAATATTAGGTGGTCCGGAATCGTCAAGTCAGCATGGTCCCGGACCACTCGTGAATCACGTGGCGCTTGTGGGGCCGGCTCGCCTGGATGGAAATTTTGCACAAAAAAATAATTTTCGTTATCTCTCGTTAGCCCACGCTAGCCCCCCGCCTCTCTCTTTCTCTTCTGCACGCATTTATTTCTTCTCTCATCTTCTCCTTCGTTTTCGCATTGAAGAAGAAAACCCACCGCACTTTCCTCTCTCGCTTTCAAATTTATTTTGAATCTATGCGATTTCGCTCTCAAATTTTGCTCGGCTTCCTGGTTGCTCCGGCGCTCCCTCCGTGGCGTTGTTGCTGCTCCGACGATCTTTCGCTCTCTGCTCAGTGCCATACCGTCGAGAAAGGCGCCAGCCACAAGCAAGGTTCCCCTCTTCTCCTCTTCCCTCGCGCCTGGATTCTTCGTCGATCCATTTTTTTGTGTGCCCGCGTTGAGCGGTTTTGATTGGTCTTTTTCTTTTACTTTTCTCTTTGGTGGTGGTGGGTTCGTTACAAAATGGGGGGGTAGGGGAGAGGGAGTCCCCTTATGGTTTTTTGCCACCATTGTTACTGCAAATGAAAACAAACCCAAGCATGATGCTCTGTTCTAAAAGGGCTGCTAGTTAATTTGCTTTGTGCTCTCGTTTGAAGGTTTGAAGGGATGATGACTCCGAGCCAAGGGCAAGCGGCATTGCTGACATTCTGCTCCTGCATTAGCCTCACTAGCGTTGGCCTTGTTCTTACAAACTGTTCCGGACATTGGTAACAACTGGTTTTGGGTCATTGCATTGAGCCCCTTAGCATAAGTGAAGATTGTTTTTCCTTGAAGAGTCCGATTTCTAGTGTTCCTCATTTCTGAAGAACAAAAACCGTCTGTGAATATGCAGAACCTTGATATGATATTTTGCGGTGGAGCACACTATTGAATGCGGGCATCGAGGAAGGAGCAAATTAAGGTAAAGATGATAGTGGCGGAAGAAGGACGCTATTGGAGATCGTTGAGCAGACGAGGAAGGAGCTTTAGCTCAGTGAGAAGGGAATGGTTTATGTAAAGGGCATATTCGAGAGATGACCAACACCCCAGCACTTCTGATGGGGGTGTTGGTCATCCAACACTCGAAGCACTACTTACTGCAGGGCCATGCTATTACTAGGAAGCTTAATTATGATGGTAAGGTGGATACCATGCAGACTCTGCACAACATAAATGAAGGTATTGAATTTTCTTGTTTGTTAAATGCCGGATTCCCAAAAATGGTTCATTCATATAGCTCATGACTATCTAGATGAGCTGCCTCAATTTGAACAAGCCTGGAAGAAAAATGCTAGAAAGCATTTGCCTGGTTGGAGTGAGCATTTTGATGGCCATGTACGGGTGAGTATTGCTACGAGATTTTTTTTTTTCCCTCTGCATCTTTTGTGTTAATGACAAGCAAAGCATGAATGTTTCAATTTCTTACTACTGTTAGAGATAGGCTGAATTCTGTGGTGAATTTGTTTTGCTGTTAGAGGCCTTAGCGTAACAATCTCAACATTTTGGTTGAACGTTTCATCACTTATCTTGTGAGGGTGGTGTTCTTGTTTCTAATATGCGCCTTTTGTTGGTGCCAGCCACAGCCAAGCATTGTTGAGATGATTTCCATTATATATAGATATTACAAATGTTACACTTCATAAGGAAACAATACAACAATGGAAAATAATAAACGAAAATATCATTATATTACAAGAGTTGTCAATCACTTGATTTTACCGTCTCCATGAATGACCTCGTGATTTTGATTGATATCTCTGGAATCTCCATATTCTTCTTCCTTGATTGATAAATCAGTGCCTTTACTCCCCCTCAAATTGGGAATAGGAGAATCCCAAATTCCCAATTTGCAACATAAATTTCCAAATGCATTTCTAGACAATGGTTTTGTGAAGAGATCAGCAATTTCATGCACAAACGGAACATACTGAGTCACAAGTGTTCCAAGAGCCACCTTTTCTTGCACGTAATGATAATCTAATTCAATATGTTTAGTTCTTGCATGAAACACTGGACTAATCGACATGTAAAGTGCACCGATTATCACAAAATAATATTGGTGGACTAGAGAGATGAATACCCAAGTCTCTCAAAAGGAATGATATCCATGTAATCTCTATTGCTGTCGATGCCATTGCACGATACTCTTTCTCGGCACTAGATCGAGCAACTGTTCGTTGCTTTTTAGCACTCCATGATATACAGTTGCTGCCTAAGAAAGTACAAAATCCAGTAGTCGATCGTCGAGTCAAGTGACAACTTGCCCAATCTACATCACAAAAAGCATACAAGTCCAAGGTTGACTTGGACAAGATTTGCATGCCTCGATCTTTTGTGCCGCTGACATAACGTAAAATGCACTTCACAATTTGAAAATGACTCACGGTAGGTTGATGCATGAATTGATAGACAAAATTGACTGCATGTGAAATATCCGGCCGTGTAATCGTAAGATATTGAAGAGCTCCGACGATACTTCGATATAGTGTAGGATCTGAAAATAATCTTGCATCCGAACTAGATTGAGAACTAGCGGCCGTAGGTGTGGAAACTGGTTTGTAGCCCTCCATTTGTGTACGTTTGAGAATTGACAAAGCATAATGTTGTTGGCACAAATAAAGGCCACCAGAGAATATCCTAACCTCCAAACCTAGAAAATAGTGTAACGGCCCCATATCCTTCATTGCGAATTCGCTACTCAGTGTAGAGATGAACTTATTAAGCAATTTTGGATCATCACCAGTAATAATCATGTCATCTACATATAAAAGTAGAGCTAGAATGCCATGGTTGATTTTTGAATAAATAAAGAAGGATCCGCAATGCTGCAAAAGAAACTGGATGCCAAAAGAAATGAATTAAAGCGATCAAACCATGCTCTCGGTGCTTGCTTGAGACCATACAAAGCTCTCTCTCGTTTGCAGACATAAGAAGGGTGATTTTTGTCTTCAAAATCTGGCAGTTGCTCCATATAAACAAGTTGCGATAGAAAACCATGTAAGAAGCCATTTTTAACGTCTAATTGTTTGATGGGCCAACCTTTAACAGTAGCAATGGTGAGGACCGTTCTTATACTTCCTGGTTGAACAACTGGCGAGAAAGTTTCAAGGAAATCTACTCCTGCTACTTGAGTATATCCCTTGGTGACCAATCTTGCTTTTAATCTTTCTAATGTCCCATTGGCCTTTAATTTAGACTTAAAAACCCATATGCATCCCACAACATTAGTAATTGAAGGACGTGGAACAAGAGTCCAAGTTTTATTTTGATGTAGTGCCTCGAGTTCCTCTTTCATTGCTGCCGACCACCCTAGATGCTTCAAAGCATAACGTACATTGTTCGGCTCCTTCGGTATAGAATCCATCATATGTAAATTGGCATATTGTGGATTAGGCTTCACAATACCAGCACATGCTCGAGTATTCATTGAATGATTTTGAGGGGATGAATTTGCTATTGAAGAATCATGAAGGACATCCATAGAGGAATCTTTATTTTCCAAATTGCATGGAGAATCAAGCGGAGCACTCGATGAGTCACCAATTTCAACATGATTTTGATGAACATGTGTTTCACCTTCCTCAATGTTGTCTTCGTGAGAAGTATCATTGGTAGCAGAATTTAATAAGTCATCATGCAGTTGATCAAACTTAACAGACAACGCACCTTTTTGCAAGTACAAAGGTGAAATTTCCGAGTATGATGTTATCATGTCATGATTTGGCCAGTTTATAAATTCAGATATCTTTGTTTTATCACTTTGATCCCGAAATAATGAGTTGGGCACGATATAAGGAAATACTGTCTCATAAAAAACGACATGTCGTGATGTATAGATTCGACCAGTTGGAGGATAGAGACATCGATATCCCTTATGGCGGTCACTATAGCTGAGAAACACGCATGGCAACGACCGAGCATCGAACTTATTTTTTGTGCAGTCCCTAAGATAAGGAAAGTACCTACAATCAAAAACTCGCAAAAATTATAATCTGGTTTTTTGCCAAATAAAAATTCATAGGGTGATTTCATGCCCAACACCCTTGTAGGAAGCCAATTCAAGAGAAAAACTGCGATTTGGAAGCCTTCGAGCCAATATTTTTTAGGAATTCCACTTTGATGAAGTATAGTCAAGTCAATTTCACATATGTGCCATAGAGATAATTTCGAAACTTATCAAGCAATTTCGTGAAGAGATGAGAAATTATCTTTATGGCATTTTTGAATTTGTAGAAAAATTGAAACTTCACATTCCTCAGATACATTGGCAAAAATATTTTGTAAAGCTAACCACACCTCAGCAGATGTCGTCAAGTCTACTACTTGAGCAAGAACTTCTTTGGAGAACGTCGCAATGATCCATCCCCGCAGAAGGCGATCTGACCTTCTCCATTGTAAAAAATCTGGATTTGCCACTTCCTCTGAGACTCTAGCTTCTTTTCTAGAATTAGAGGGGGTGGCTATTGTTGGACTCGGCATTGGGTACTCGCCATCAATGAATCCTACTAGATCTTGACTTTCAATTAGTGCAAGCATCTGGGCTCTCCAATAAGAATAGTTTGTTTGTGTCAGTTTCAGTGACACAAAATTGCTAATGTTCAAAGATGAGGGGTATGGATACTTAGGATTGGTGGAAGCCATGGTTAAGGATCAATTTCTTTTGAGGATATACTTTGATACCATAAAAGAACAAAGGAGTTTGATTCTTGAACTCAACGTACCATTGTTGAGATGATTTCCATTATATATAGATATTACAAATGTTACACTTCGTGAGGAAACAATACAACAATGAAAAATAATAAATGAAAATATCATTATATTACAAGAGTTGTCAATCACTTGATTTTATCATCTTCATAAATCATCTCGTGATTTTGATTGATATCTCTAGAATCTCCAGATTTTTCTTTCTTGATTGATAAATCAGTGCCTTTAAGTCATCGACGATAATTTATGAGCAGGTGCAGAATGGCGAGTGATCTGGAGCTTACGTGACCGAGAATCCAGCCCTACAATCTTTATGGTTGGCCTAGGGTGAATGTGTTGTTTGCTGATGTATTAAAATAGGAAGCAAGGGAATAAGGCTTATATGCTAAAATGTAATTCTTTGCTTGTCGACTTCGGTTTTGACCCGAGGAAACAATGTTGTGCATAGCTCCTGTGTGATGCTTGGACCTCTCAAAAGTAACGATATTGAAGAACTTTTCTTTACGTCTATGTACCATGTATTATTCATAAACGTATCAAAGCACTGTAAAAAAAGCAAGGAATATTGAGTGAGAATCGCCAAATATTACTGTAGTTAGGACTTGGAAGTAATAGGAATGGAGTGGGGGTAGGATTTTCATGGCATCAGGCATCGCATTTAGGCATTGTTATATTCATTCAAGTGAAAAGATATCTATCAGTCAATGCTAGTCTCGCTTGATTATATCTTCCTCTGTTTCCAATGACCAAAATAAGACCAAATCACAGTGCATAGGAACAAGAACATTCCATGCCACATTTAAACTTCTAACTAGGTTCGAGTCCGAATTTACTCCCTGAGAAGTGAGTCAGCCACTCCTATGCAATTGAATTAGATGGACAGGAGAGAGGAGAACCGCCGGGGAAGAAAAAGGAAGTACTATTGAGATTGATTAATCCACCTCTTCCAAAAATAGGACCCCTTCAACCAAAAAATAAATATCATCGATGTAATCAAAGAAAAATGGATCCTCTTGGGACCACGAACAGTTATCAGTATGGACAAAAATCCCCCTACTTCTCATCTAAATCCCCCCAAAAAGAAGGATGGACGTGCAAAAAATGGCAGCCCATGTTTATCAATTCGTAAAGACCTAAACTTAGCCAATGCGGTGGTAGTCTTGTGTACATTATGTTTTCGGTTACATATCTGACGAAAACATCAAAACATGTTGAGCAAACTCCTCTCATCATACTTGTTTGTCCAGTTGCAATTTTGTCTATGTGGGAACAAAAGGATGGCGAAGGGATAGTGTAGACCTCGCTCCTCCTGTGCTCAAGGCCGCAAGCAAGCAACACAATATGAGTGGAACACCTCGCTATTTCCTTAAACTCACCATGACCTGCGTCGACGATTATATCGATAAGTTCACCACATGCAAGGCACCTTGCGCACCCAGGAAAAAACAAATGCAATAAGCACTTGAAAGAAAGCATCATAAAGAGAACAAGCACGGGATTCTAGAGCATAAAATGTATAATAATAGGACCAAAAATCTAGTAGAACATATATATAACTCGCATACCTAAATCAATTTCTCTCGAAAGGCTTTTCAAATGGCTTTTGACCATTGATTGCAATTCTTCTTTTGCTCTACGAAAATGGCTATTTTCGCTTCCTGCATAAGGAGATGCAGCCCCATCAGAACCGAGGCTGGATCGGCTGCTCGACTGATGATGCTGGTCAGGAACTATAGTTGAGCTCATCCCTACATGTTCGTCCAGAAGTGCCAGGCCAGAACTACTGGGAGTTCTGGACCAACATCTCAAGCACTATGCGAAATTTCACCACTGTCTACCACCTGCAATTCACCGGACCACCGCCCACCCTCCATTATGACTCCAGAATGATGCGTAACATACAAAATGGAATACCAGTCAAGTGCAGTAGTGCAGTCAAGTATCGCAAGAAATCAGTATTCAAGAGTCCCCGGTTCATGTGGAGGCACCGGTCAAGACTCTAAAAGGATAAAAAAAGCATATTGAACCACGGTGACAAAAAACGTTAGTGAAAGATCATTAAGCGAACCCGATCACCACTCATTCGAAGCGACTAAAAATCGGACCTTGGTCCAAACATTCTGTCAAACACATGGTGCGCAGTAGACGTTCGAGCAATTAAAAACTCGAACGCACACCAAGACTTGAAAGAGACCATCAAAACACACTTGTCCAGCGACATACAGCCATAACAAGTTCAAATTCAATCAACTCAGAATTAAATTTTTCCATCTTAAAAGGATTGAAAAAAAGGGTAAAAGAAATCAAGACTTCCAATATATCTCAGTGTTTGATTGGGCATGGCAGAGATGTAGAACCAAGAAAACAGTCAGAGTAATGCAAGTTTCATCGTCCCTACCGGAATGAAGTCAAAATGGGATCCCTAGATCTCGGCCGCCCCAGCAGATTAATGGGCGAAGGAAAGCTGCGCCGGAACAGAGACGGAGCGAGCGAAAGAGCAGCGAGCGAGCGACGGACCGAGCGCGGAGCAGAGACGGAGCGAGCGCCGGAGCAAAGAGCGAGGACGAGGGACCCAAACCTTGGCTTCGTTGGAGCAGGGTCGGAGCAACCAGGAAGCCATGCGAAATTTGAGAGCGAAATCGCAGAAATTCAAAATAAATTTGAAAGCGAAAGAGGAAAGTGCGGTGGGTTTTCTTCTTCAATGCGAAAACGAAGTAGAAGAAAAGAGAGAAGAAATAAATGCGTGCAGAGGAGAGATAGAGAGGGGGATAGCGTGCGGGGCTAACGAGAGAGAATGAATATTATTTTTTTGTGCAAAATTTCTATCCGGGCGAGCCGGCACCACAAGCGTCATGCGGTTTACGTGGCGCTTCATGAGTGGTCCGGGATCATGCTGACTTGGCGGTCCCGGACCACCTAATATTTTCTCTCAGCTTTAATATCATGTGAGATTTTGTAGGATTACTGTCATTATTGAAAACAATCACAATCACCGGTAACTGATATCGAACTAAAGTCTCAATTTCCATTGCACTGAACCCAAACCCATAATCATCTTCAACAGCGACCACGAGCCGGTCAGGGGAAGCCACAGCAGCTGCAATGCAATAACCCAACCCAACTCCCATGGTCCCCCACGTCCCAGCATCCAATCGAGTCCTTGGCTCGGTCTGAACTAACACTGCCCTCCCAATGTCCATCGTATTTGCCCCTTCAGAAACCAATATTGGCGCCGGACTCCGCTGTCCCAAAATCGCATCCCTTGTGATCTTCATCGGGGTCAAGAAATTAAAGGGCACGACTTCCTTCGCCAATTGAGCCTCCATCCTCTATACCTTCTCGTTTGTCCTCTTCGAAATCGCCTCGACCCATGGATGAGACCTCCCCAAAGCAAAACGGGTCATCCTTGATCTCCTTGTTGATCAATTCCAACACCCTCTTAGCATCACCCTACCAAATCCAAGTCCGGCTTCCTCAACTCAACCTCGTCTTTGCTCACATCAACCAAAATGAACTTCACATCACGCAGTCTTTTTTACTCGCTGACATCATCAGTCACCAACCACCCACCCCACCCACCTCGAGTACCTCCCACTTCCCATGGCGGACCCGAGCCCGAACCTGACCGGAGCCCCGACCCGGATCAAAGGCAACGCCCTCGCCGCGAAGTCCCCTGGCCCTGTTCGGCAAGGACCGGATGTTCGGCGTCATGGGCATCCCCATGACCTCCTTCGCCAACCGCGCCGTTGCCCCGGGGTACGCCGCCTCCGCCTACAGCTACCTCACTGGCCGCCCCCGCGTCCTCCTCACGGTCTCCAGCCCGGGCTGCGTCCACGGCCTTGCCGGGGCGATGGCGTGGTTGGCGAAGGAGGTCATGGGGATGCCTATGACGCCGAACATCCGGTCCACGCCGAACCGGTCCAGGGGACTTCACGGCGAGGGCGTTGCCTTTGATCCGGGTCGGGGCTCCGGTCAGGTTCGGGCTCGGGTCCGCCATGGGAAGTGGGAGGTACTCGAGGTGGGTGGGGTGGGTGGTTGGTGACTGGTGATGTCAGCGAGTAAAAAAGACTGCGTGATGTGAAGTTCATTTTGGTTGATGTGAGCAAAGACGAGGTTGAGTTGAGGAAGCCGGACTTGGATTTGGTAGGGTGATGCTAAGAGGGTGTTGGAATTGATCAACAAGGAGATCAAGGATGACCCGTTTTGCTTTGGGGAGGTCTCATCCATGGGTCGAGGCGATTTCGAAGAGGACAAACGAGAAGGTATAGAGGATGGAGGCTCAATTGGCGAAGGAAGTCGTGCCCTTTAATTTCTTGACCCCGATGAAGATCACAAGGGATGCGATTTTGGGACAGCGGAGTCCGGCGCCAATATTGGTTTCTGACGGGGCAAATACGATGGACATTGGGAGGGCAGTGTTAGTTCAGACCGAGCCAAGGACTCGATTGGATGCTGGGACGTGGGGGACCATGGGAGTTGGGTTGGGTTATTGCATTGCAGCTGCTGTGGCTTGCCCTGACCTGCTCGTGGTTGCTGTTGAAGGTGATTATGGGTTTGGGTTCAGTGCGATAGAAGTTGAGACTTTAGTTCGATATCGGTTACTAGTGGTTGTGATTGTTTTCAACAATGGTAATAGTCTCACAAAATCTCACATGGTATCAGAGCTGGAGGTTCTGAGTTTAAATTTTTTCGGGCTCCATTTGCCTCTCCAATTAAATATGTCCACGCTTAGTATTAGGCAAAAAAAGACCAGACTAAGCATGAGGGAGAGTGCTAGAATAATTAAATATTAAATCACGTTTTCATCTAACAGCTTGATGAAGACGTAGTTTAATATTTAATTATTCTAACAATTTCAAACCCATGATTGTATAGCCTAAGAGACCCGTAATATGCGTCGGCCAGCAAAGATATAGCATCAAGGGTTTCGCATGAGAATTTATATAGATTTGCCTTAAACATTATGAACAAAATGTTTTAAATAAATAAAAGTTGCACCAAATGCCTTTCGGCTACGTTACTCTCATCGTCCTGAATAGTTTGATAATTGTGTGATGGTATTATATATAGTTTTCCCAAGTTAATCATCGGTATTCACGAAATCATAATGTATTCAAAGAATACACTTTCTCTATCTCATATATCATGTTAATTTACAAATATCGATACACATATGTGGATTAACTTGCTATTCTTAACTCTTGGATTCACGACAGCACATGAACTAAAAATTTTGAGTTCGATACTTCAATCCTTACTAATGTTGCTTAAGTATCCGACGCGGCCACAAATGTGAATAATTAAATCAAAATTTATTCCTTCATATGTTTCGGGCCATGAAGCGGTTGAATCAAAGATTGGGCAATCCTTAAGTTGGATCTTAGTCCATATCTTCCCAAAATTCGAAAATATTTGCTCACCCGCAGGAAAAAAAGGTTCGAAGCAGTATTTGCTTGGGCTGAATTGAAAGCAACTTTGGCTGATTCGGGGGTGAAACTAAGATATTTTTGAATTTAAGGGACAATTCAGATGTTCCGTCCATTTCGAGGACAAATTGGCAATATCCCCTCCCCCAATGCAATGGTAAGTTAGGGCGCGCATGGAATCCATTCTGGAGTAGAAATTCTGCTCCAGAATGGATTTCGGAACAGAAATGCGTTTGTTAAAAAATTTTCGGAATGCATTCTGGAGCAATTTTTGCATTCTGGAAAAAAAATGCGTTTGTTAAAAATATTTGATTCCAGAATGCATTCTTGATTCCAGAATGCATTTTTTATTCCAGAATGAGTTTTGGGCAAGAAAAAGAGAAGCTACTTTTTGTAGCTTCTCTCTTCCAAAATGCATTCTCCCTATTTTCTCTCTTTTTCTCACTAATTTTTTTTTTTTCAGAAAATGCATAAAATTGAAAAATTCCAGAAAAATTCATAAAAATTTCCAGAAAATAAAAAAAAGTCAAATTTCGGGAAAATAGGAAATTTGGTGAATTTTTTTCAAAAAATATAAAAAAATCAAAAATTTCAAAACTTCACATAATGGCTTAGAATACTTTTGGGCACCCACTTTGAGTGAAATTTAATATTTTTGAGGTGCCCAAAAAAATGAAAAAATAAAAAATTTCAAAACTTCACAAAATGGATTAGAATACCTTTGGGCACCCACTTTGAGTGAAATTTAATTTTTTTGAGGTGCCCAAAAAAATAAAAAAATAAAAAATAAAAAACTCACAAAATGGCTTAAAATACCTTTGGGCACCCACTTTGAGTGAATTTTTTTTTTTGAGGTGCCCAAAAAAATAAAATAAAATAAAAATAGATTTCTGTTCCAGAAATCAATTTCTGGAGCAGAATTAGTCATGTTTTATCAAACAAATTTCTCCTCCAAAAATCAATTTCTGGCAAGAATTCCGAAAATCAATTTCTGGCAAGAATTTGATTTCTGGAGCAGAATGGTTACCATTCGCGCCCTTAAGGTAGCGCATGATAACCATTCTGGTTCTGTCCAGAACTGGTTTTCTGTTCTAGAAATAGCTTTGGACCAGAAACCCGTTTGGTAACGCAATTCCATTTTTCTATTTCTGGAACAACTTTTTGTTCCATAACCGATTCTGAACCAGAAATCAGAACAAAAAAAAAGTAGGTTTTCTATTTCTAGACAAAAAATGAGAATTATTTCTGAGAAAACTCTTTCTTCGAAACACATGTTCATATGGAAGTCACGATCTTTGAGGTGGGAAAAAAAAGCAAAAAATCAAAAATTTCAAAACTTCACAGAATGGTTTAGAATCTGTGGCTATCCACTTTGAGCGAAATTTAAATTTTTTTAGGTGCCGAAAAAAATAAAAAATTTCAAAATTTCACAAAATGGCTTAAAATACCTATGGCCACCCACTTTGAGCGAAATTTAATTTTTTTTAGATGCCAAAAAAAATAAAAAATAATAAAAAAATCTAAAATTTAAAAACTTCACAGAATGTCTTAGAATACCTGTGGCCACCCAATTTGAGCGAAATTTAATTTTTTTTAGGTGCCAAAAAAAATTAAAAAAAACAAAAAATAAAAAATTTCAAAACTTCACAGAATGGCTTAGAATATCTGTGGCCATCCACTTTGAGCGAAATTTAAATTTTTTTAGGTGCCGAAAAAAATAAAAAAATAAAAAAATTCAAAACTTCACAGAATGACTTAGAATACCTGTGGCCACCCACTTTGAGCGAAATTTAATTTTTTTTAGGTGCCAAAAAAAAATAAAAATAAGCAAAAAATCAAAAATTTCAAAACTTCACAGAATGGCTTAAAATACCTGTGGCCACCCACTTTGAGCGAAATTTTATTTTTTTTAGGTGCCTAAAAAACTAAAAAAAAGCAAAAAATAAAAATTTTTAAAACTTCAGAATGAAAAAAAAATAAAACTTAAACTTAAGAATCCCTTGAATTTAATTTTTGGTCCACTTTGAAAGCGAAATTTTAATTTTTTAGGTGTCGAAAAAAAAAAAAAAAAAAAAAA